ATATGTAACAATATTTAAAAAATTTGCTTTAAAATATTTTTAAAAATAATTAACGAGAAATTTAAACGTCAAAGTACTTTAAAGACAATTTCTAAATACGCATTTTGATATATATATGTATATATATGCATATATATATATATATATGGTTCTTCATTGTTCTAAGCAGGCAAACAGGAAGAAGAAAAGATAACATATCTGTATCAAACGTATACCCATTCATTAGTGTTAATATTTTTCTATTCTAAACACGTTAACCGGCAATGAATATCCGTTCTTGTCATGTTTATTGTTCATAATAACACCTTCTTTGTAATTCTTGGTGAGCATAATAAAAAAACTATCGTCCATATATTTCCTTTTACTCTTTTTACTCTTCTCCTCTTTTATGTTTGCCTGTCTGTCTATTTAATACACTTGCACGTGATTTTATTACAAAATTATAGCATTTCACGCACTCATTGGAATTCCTAAAAAAGATCGATTTGAAAATAATTTTGCCACTTATCACCGAAGCCCATTGGATTTCACTAGTTTTGTAATATGCAACAATTGACACACGGAGCCGCCATAAGAAGGCGTATATGTTCTTTATAAAATTAAAATTCTTAACCGATCTATCCATATTCACTAATCTGTAGTTTTTCTTTTTGCTGCGTATTGTACGCCCATAAAAGTTGATATTAAACGCTAAAACTTAATGCGTTCGTATTTATGCCTTACACCACTTGTAGAGAATAAAGTGCGTTAAGTGTGCGTGGATATTTACATAAAAGCACTTAACACAGACGTAACTTTTGTTATACCGATCGAGTTGGAATCATTTCAGATTTAATAGCAACAAAGAAAAGATATAACAATCATAATAAAAGTTATTTATAGTGATTCCCAAAGAGGCGATCTCTTATTTTATAACGTTTTGTCGAAAACAACAATCGTGTTGTTCTCCTTTAAGCAATGGTCATTCGTCTAGAGATTAACTTTGAATATAAATAACTATGACTATGATGATCTTTATATGTCTACGGAAAGTTCTATCGAATTTTAATACGTGTCGATAATTTTGCTTCCCATATCAAAGTAATCAGTTAGCGTGCGTCATACAATGCCTTTCCAATTAGCGTCACCCGTGAGAACTATTTTTCAGTATTCTCCATCAATTGATTACGAAGCACAGTGTGAATAAAGTGCTGTGGATAGCAGCGTCCATTTAAGACACTGCATTTGATATGTGTTCCCTGTCAAATATGATTTGTCGAATTTCACTCCGAAAATAGAATGCGTCATTTAGGAACATCTTATTTAACGTACTGATCGGAGAATATAAAAGGACAACTTTTAATATCCTTCATATCTTAATTGCGAAGAGAAGTGCAATGGATGCACGTGCATTTAGGTGTCAATAGTCAGAATGGTCAGAAAGCAAGTAACGTGTTGTTTAATTATAAAAACTTATTGGGAAGTGAAGCTTTAAATGTTTGGAACTGCCAATGATGGCTTGCGAAGGTTTCACTCGCAAAGAAGGTTGCCCATTTGGGAAATAATGTTATTTTGCGATCCATATTGAAGAGTAACCCACTTTGCAATTGCAAAGGAATTCACCATTCCTCGTTCGGCTGCTCAGGAGCACATCAAACTTCTTCAAATTAAAATATTTAATATAATTTATGGTAGAACTTTCTCGCCATTCCAGCATATCAAATTTCAAAGGAATAAGTCTACTTTTAAGCTCTAACCCCATATAATATTCCTCGCGAATATGACGATAATTTCTAATCTGTAGTCCTTTATGATGAATACAACTGAAAAACCATTAGAGAATATTAAATTTAGTAAATTTGGACCTCTTCAGCTGACGTTTTGTACACCTTTCAATATGAGGACTTTCGTGTGAGGAGGAGTATCTCTTTACATAGAAGGCGGACATAATTTTTGGTGTATTGTCACGAAAGTTAATGAATAATTTCACAGTGCACAAGGTTCGATTTTCTAAATCGCTCTATGTAATGTCTGTAAATCTTCAAATTTTGCAGAAACATTGGAGCTTCTTGCACACAGATTATTACTGCAAATGGTGCAAATCGGTCATAGAGAACGCTTATAGTACAACGCAAAATGAGGACATCTATATTCTTCAATTCGATGATGCCGCATAATTTCGTTTTTTCCAAAATCTTTATAGTGCAAGCATGTCCATCTGGCTGTCTGTCCGTCTGGATAATGTCTGTTGTAAATATTCTCCTGACCGCAAAATTTAAACTGTCGACTTCAAGTTTAAGAGAAACATTGGAAATTCTTACATGCAGGTTGATATTGAAAATGGGCAAATTCGGACGAAGAACGCGCCTACAGTACTATGTAAAGTCAGACAACCTCTGTTTTTCAAAAGCAATAAAAAATCGGTTTTTTGATCATTACTCATAAACGAAAGCAGATAAATTTCTCTATTTTTGCAATTCATGAACACGATGCCTGAGCTTCGCAGTTTTCGTGAATCAAGGTTGGCACCCTTGGGTCAACCTAAAGTGTACTTATATTAATATTTAGCTCTTTATTGTCGAAGTCAAAGAATGAAAGGAAATCTTCCACATTTTATTGCCGTTTGCAGAGCTTTCCTCAAGTGTTTTATTAAGAAACAATCCCAAAAGATGGGATTTGATAACGATATTCGAATCACGTTCAGACACTTTGAAAATTTATTTAATCGAAATGTTCAAGGATGCGAATATGAATTCGAATTTAACTAGCAAAGACCCCTACCGTTTTCCTTAACAGAGCTCCGTTAATACCCTAGTAGGTCTCTGTTAAATATTCACAAATAAGATATAGTTGGATTTGGCAACCCATCCCGACCATATTAAAAAGCGTAAAATACTTTTGTGGATCTATATGAAAATACGTTTCAAACAAGTTGAACAAATCCAACTTCTGCTTACAGGAACTATTTTTAACGATTTTTTGAATTTCGGTATGTTATAGAAAAATAGACATAGAAAAAGACCCAAATTTGAGAAAATACCACCTGGATTCACCTATATCACGTGAACTTGTATGAATGCATCTGTCGAATGATTAAAAAAAAAAAAAACAAATTCAAACGGTAGGTGACTTTACAAATTAAATTACAATTTATCTTCATAACCTTGAAATATTCTATCTTGTATATTGTTTTAGATGGACTAATCTGAATTTTCCATTCCACTGCTAAACATCATTAGCATCGCATTAGATAGCATTGATTAAAATAAACGTAGCATGTCGGCTGTTAGCTTTGCTAAAATGGAGCGTGTAAATTGAATACAAAAAGCGGAAGTGAAGGCACCCTTGGGGTAGGTCAGCATTCATTTTTTTTTTTTCAATAGACGAAATACTGCTCACATTAACTGTCAAAAAGATCGATTTAGCAAAAAACCTTTATTAAGTAATTAATTGCTTTAAATGTATCATGAACGGACAATTACAAATATTTAGTTTTTAATCTAGTCCGTCATGATGGAATCGAATTCGTGGAGATGATTACTTTTATTCCTTATAGATGCTTTTAAATGTTCTGGAATATGTGAAATGAGTGTTCTCTTTGAAAACTCAGGCTTTTCTCCAGACGCACTAAAGGAATTACCTACATCAAATAAATCCCTATTGGGAATTTATGCTGCCTGCCTACCCTTTAAATGTCTTTAATACACACGAATAGAACTAGTTTTGTGTAGCTTTTTTGAGGCAACCGTCGAATAGAGCATTGAGTTTTCAATACTTCTACCAAGAAGTTAAGAGTTTACCATAAAGCTTTTCTAAATTGATTATGAATTCGCTTAAACAATTCTGTATTCTCTCGCGGTTTTCCACCACCATTTTGCTACACTTAAAAGTGAAAACGTCGATTACCTAGCATCGAAGCATTCGGCCATTTTTATTTCAAAATATTTGTAACAAGCAGGAAGAATGAATGGGGTCAGAGACCACATAAAATACATATATTCGTCATCAGCATCAAATCATCGATCGATTTAAACATACCTTCCTTAAATCATCAATGTATCTGTGACAAACGTGTTCCATCGTTCGAGGATGTCGCTACAATATTTGAAAGTAGATCAAAGCAAACTGGTCAAACGGCACGGAACGCCTGCTTGCCTCACATTACTCCTAAACTGCACTAGACAGACAACAAAAATCTCCACGTACATCCTGTAAATGACGCGCTCATTTTAATATTATAAAGTATGAAAATCTCGTTTCCTCGTTATTGCTTTTTTTTTTTTTTAGGTTTTTTTGTGTTTTTTAGGATAAATGGGTATAAAAAAAATCTCACCACTGCCGAATATTAACCTCTTGCTTACATGCAACGCTAAAGCACTCCTTGCCACATTGCCTGTTAAATTAATTTACTAGCATGTAGCGTTTCACTCACATACTAGTAGACGTTATTTATATATATATCCCTAATTGTGAATTCGGTTTATTTAAAGAGTTAAGGATGGGAATTCAATGGAATTCTGTGAATAAAACTAAAATTAAAAAATTGTTACAAAGACTTCTTAGGCTAACCTTTGATAATGAATTTTCCATTTAAATAAACGTGAAACTGAATGGATGAGTGTTTTGTGAATAGTTCAAGAGGATCTGCAAAATGCTTATTAATTTAAAAGCAGTTAAATTTGTTTTTATTTCTGCATTTTCTCAAAAAAGAAGAAAAAAGTGAAAGTAAACTTTTTTTTTTGCTCTTCTGTGGAATACCAAAATTTGTACGACTGGAAATGCAATTTTTTTTAACACTTAACGGCAACATAACTAATAAGAAGAGTTCATTGTCTTTAATACAAACGAAAGAAAATTTAGAGAAAGATTACCACAACGAAATACGTATATATTTGAAGAAATATTGCTGCACAATTTTACACTAATGAACTATTTTTTTTTTCTCTCTCTCTTTTACACCGTTTCACTCTGTTTCTCTTTCTCTCATTCTCTCTTTCTTTTCTTTTTAAACCTACTTACAGAGTCTGGGTATTTTGGCTTCAATACCCGCCGGTTTATTGATATTATCTCTGTTTGGTTTGTTATTGTATTTACTGACACGTTGCTGTGACCGCAAACCCCGCAAACCCAGTGCACAACGATGCCAAAGTTGTTCTTTAGTGATAATCACACTGATGACATGCGCCTCCATAGGTTTAGGTAAGTTGCAAACAAGCAAACAAGAAACTCAAGTTACACAACGAGACAGTATATATATACAGCATGTATAAGTAAACCGAAAACAGCACTCACGGAGCCAACTAATCCGCCAACCAAGCAGCTTAAGTAGAGCATCACCATCTTTTTCTCTAAAATGGTTTTATTTACGAAATTGTTTAACAAACTATTGTTGGTTTTTATTTTGTGTTGTGTATATTTTTTGTTTTTTGTTTTCTGTTTTTTTTTTTTTCGTTTCTTCTAAATTTATTCCATGTCTGTTTTGTTTTAATGCTTTCGCAATAATTTACCTATTTGTTCAGTTTGTGCTCTTGTTTTTAATTTTAGCAAGAGTTTCCAGCCAACTCTATATATATATATATATATTAAAAAAAAAAATATATATATATATATATATATATGTATACAAAGTAGAGAATATGCAGAAAATGCAGTAGAAGAAGTCTTCTGTTATGCAATCGTTGATTCCATAAAGAATAAAAAATGAAAATTTTGAAAAATATTTATAAAAAATCGAATGACAACAACACTAACAACAGCTAATTTGTGGCCTTTTATCTATCTATCTTTCTCTATTTATTTAATTCACTATCTGTATATTAATAAAAACACTGTATGACTGAATGATTAACTGACTGACTGACTAACAATCATCATAATTTTCAGTTTAGCGATATCAGATCAAAACGACAGAAAAAAAACAAGCCACCTTCACCACTACGACGAGCACTACCACCATCGTCACCATTACCGTCAGCATCAACATTAGCGTCCGCATCAGTTTCAGTAACAGCATTTTCTAGTTGCGACAACATTAGCAGGGCAAATCGAAATGATGTGATATATATATAGTGAACGCTCAGAACAGAGAATACAAAGCGCAGTGCTCTTTGTGCCATGTCAAGCGTATAAATGGTAGCGACTTACATATGTTTATATTGTCACTGACTTATTATTACAATCGTTCATATAACATCTCATCTTTATGCCATTATTCGTTTTCTACATTTTTTATCCTTTCAGGAACAGTGACAGTCAAACATATATATATAGGTATATATATATATACGCTTAAAAAATATATTTCTATATCTCCGTTATATATACGACAAGGAATTTATAAAATATTAAGAGCTAAGAGAATCTGCTTTAACTCAAGAAAAACGTAAACGGGGTCACATAAGTCTGTTTTTCGTATCTCGTTCCATATAAATATTCGAAAACGAAGTCAACGAAAGCCATTATATTATGATATTCTCCCGAAAACCGATGGGAAATATGTAATTCTTCAACAAGAAAATTTTCCTTACGATATTTCGACCATAATGATTCATCCGTTATGTCAGGATTCCCGCTCGGTGTAAGCATTTATGACGAGTTGATAGGTATACGATAGATAGGAGAATTATTTCTATCGAAGCGTATATATATGACATTTAGTAAGTAGTCGGCCTTGCTCGGCTGTAACCAGCTAAACTTATTTTTATCTGCTTTAAAAAGAAAATACCCATCGGGCACTGCTATGTCATGCCGTACTTTTGAGACATATTATTATTATGCCTACCTAACAGAATTCCTATTTTGTATGTTGGCTTAGAGTTTGGCGAAATCTGTTCCTCCAACTTGAATTTTCTCAATTAGGAGAATAAATGAAACGTTAAATACATTGATGGTACAATGATAATATTGCAATACGCGAATAATTTAGTATAATTAGATAACCTACTGAGTCAATTAACGAAAGCGTGATGTTCGAAATATTATTTATGATGTAAAACTTAAAGGCAAGTAAAGCAATTTCAATTTACGAAAAGTGATAAAAAGTGTGCAAAAAAAGGAACTTAAAGATGATAGCATTGAAGACCTTTTTATTAAACTGTTTTGAAATTAAGATAAATCAACGCAACCCGCAATCATCAGAAATGAACATTTCCAGGTGATAAGCTAAATGGATCGAATTTGAATTTGACATTAATTGGATTAACCATATGAAAAAGAGATGGAAAAGGGTCAGTTCAAATAATGACGTGAAAAAAAAAAGAAAAGAAAAATCGAATTTAATTAGCAAAGACACCTATCATCTACTTGACATCGCTCTGTAAGCCTCTTAATAGGGCTCTGTTCAGTAGTTTAGATAAAAATGTTGATGGATTTGGGAGACTACCTCGTCCAATTTGGAAGGCGTAAAATATTTTTGTTAACATCTCAAGGGATTTTCGTAACGATTCACGTGATATAGCTGAATATAGGCGACATTTCTTAGTTTGGCCGTTTGTTGCTAACATACCAAATTTCATAAAATTATTAAAAATAGGTTTGGAAGGCCCAACTTGAATTTGTTTAACTCGGTTGAAAGGTTTTTGTTCCCGATGCCGTCTATTAATTTAGCTTCCTAGGTGCAAGTAGGCCATTGTAAATGAAGGCATTACGGAACCGTGTTAGCTGATTTTCTGCCCCAAAACTTAGTGATTTGTCCATGGAGGAGTTCGTACTTAGCAGGACGTTGCTCTCCGACTTACAGCTCGTGAAATAATGACTTCGTTGCCTAGACCTATATTTTAAAAGATTCCAATCTCTTATATTTCATGTTCTGTGTCAGTAGGGACAGTTAATCGCAGAGCAGGTGTCTCTACATTATACCGCTTAGTACATTTTGTCGGTATTTTTGGGCAACACTGGCACAGGGAACTCCAAATCATTTCCATTTACGGGCACACGCGCTTTTTAACTTAGCTTCTCAATAATCATGGCATACGCACACCCTATATCATTTGCGATAGAATAGTACATTAAGTTTGCGCGGATGTATGCAACACCCAGAGCAACTTGAACAACTTTGAGCACACCTTTCAAGCTTCTCACTTTGTCTGTCCGTCTCAAGTCTCAGGTACCTTGATGAAATTGAATACGATGAAATTGCATGTGGTGCACGGTATTTAATGGTAGGCCGTGGTGCACTGTATGGTGTTTCGACTTGTATTTAATTGAATATTGCTGATGGTAGGAATGATGGAATGCATATTTGTTTTTTCTTTTGCCAAAAAGGCAAAGGAAAGGATAAAACTTACTAAAAGCTATTGACATAAACTTTAAAGTATGCTAAACGAGTATTGAAGTAATATTTGAAATTTTCCGTAGGTTTCAATACCGCCTTATTCATTCTTTTCTTTCTTTATTTTTTTTTTTCTTTCTTTCTTTCTTTCTGTCTGTTTTTTTCCCTGTAGGACTCTATGGCAATGATGACTTTCATAACGGTTTATTGCAAGCGTTCAGCTCCGGTAAACAAGTTGAGGGACTTGTATTAAGCCTAAAACGACAGGTAAGCTATAAAATACATGTGTACAAAAATGTTTATATATGTGTGCGTAAGTAAATCGATTATTAAAGTAAATCGTATTTTACATGCACAACATACGGGAATTGCACTTCATAGAGAAAATAGGTCATCACCAACTGGGCGAACAATGATAAGTAATTGGAAACAATTGCCTAAAAAATCGATAAAACGAGAAGAAAATTAAAATTAAATGAACAAATGTCATTCATTGTTACGTGTTTGTCTCATATCATCATAGTATAGAAATGTTTAATACAAGAAAGCAATGCTTCACTGCTCTCTTATAATAAGTAATACATTTATTATTTTTGTATAAAGACGAAATGTTACAACGCTTGGGCCACAAAGTGCAAACATAATTTTCTGCACTTTAATTTCAAATTAATTTTATTGAAAGAAATAGATGTCAATTCGATTGGTATGACCTCTTGTCAGCTCTGCGGTAAATTTATTTCTGGACGAAGCAGTGACTTAATTTACACAGGCCACAGGACTTTTTTGAAGTTCTGAAGCATTACGCCGTTAACGCAATTCTGTAAAGAGCGAGAAATGAATGATATCCAAGCGGAGCAAAGTCGTTGCTATACAGTGGATGTGTGCATAACAAGGACATTGAGTGTATGGTCGTCTACACTCATTGTTGTGATGAAAGGCGACGACTTTCCTCGTGATTAATTTTTGATGTTTGAACAGTCCGTAGGTTATTTGAATTGCATTAGGTATTGGTATTAGGGCGATACCAAACCATAAAACCAAAGCTATCTGTCAAAGCCGTCTATTGGGTGAAAGGCAACCCAAACTTTTCACTTCACTCTTTATTTCAGTCTCAACAATGTGAACACGTTACCCTGCATTAATATGCAATTTTAATAGCCGAAAACAATTTGAGAAAAGTTGTAGAAAATAATTTCTTTTTGAAATCTCTTTCTTCACTTTTCCCTCCCTTCTCCCATTCTCTTTTTATGTGTGAAATCTAAGTAACGTACATCCCATTTGTAGATAGAATCTACCTGCACTTGCAAGTCCATTGAAATTAGCGAGCTCGGTTGCAGAAGAGAAAGAGAGAGACAGAGAGAGAAACGATGAATTAATTGAAATTTTATACAAATATTCCTGGATTATGCAGGATGAACGTTACGAGGAGTTTATATGTATTGCATTCTTTACAATCTAAATAATATTTCCGCCTTCAAGAGCTGTGATATTTAAAAATCACTGTAATGCGAATATTATTCTTTTACTTCATTTTTTCTTTTTATTTATTTATTTTTTATTTATTTTTTTCCGTGTTTTATATTTTGAACTATGTCTTATCATTTCATTCGGCATTACAGCGTTTTCTCTTTCTCTCTCACACGCACGTCCGCCCTTCCTCTCTTAATGTATAAATTCATTTTGATAAACACGGCACACACAGTCAGCAGAATTATTTATCGTAATATTATTAAAGCTTTCTTGTTATTACGCAAAAAAAAAGAAAGGAATTTCTCATATCCATCGCCCAAGTTTGGAGGTACGCTGAAATGTATATGTATGTGTGCAATTTCAACCAGATGGGCCGGTAACAGTTTCAATCCAATTGCACCATAATGCCACACTACAAACATCTGCACACAGCCCCTTCTTCATTAGCGCAAACTGAAATTTTTATGTTCTTCGTCTTACCAAATCTTGTCATGCCCGATTATCAATTGTTTCGCTCTCTGCAGAACTCTTTTAAGCGTGTGATGCTGACTTCAAAGGAGAACTTGATACAGTTTTTCCGACAGAAATCGCAAATGCTCTGTAGTAACGGTTTTACCAGATTATCGACCAAACTGGCATATATTTGATTTTTAATAAATTCCATTTTAAATATGAAAAGTGAACTGGACTTTGATTAAAGAAAGGCACAAGTTTAGGCAATCATCCGATACATACAATACTAGCACATGAGCTATAGAAATGAAGCAATTTCAAAGAAAAGGAAAATTTTTTGTTTATGTGTTTGCTACAATTAAAATAATTATTGTAAGAAGGATTTCGGTTCATGGTCCTTGCTTATAGCGAAAACGCCGTTTTTCTGCTATTAAACGGAAATGTGACGAACAAAGTCAGACAGGAAGTATGCTTTTTGTTTGTTGATATATATTATTATTATTTATTTTTTTTTTGGGCCACATATCTATGCAAAGAGAATACCACATCATTATTCATTGTTACACATATAATCGTACAGGGTAAGGTGTATCCTAAATAAATAGGTTTAGTTTTTTGGAATATAAAGAAATTTGCAAAACAAAGTTTCAGTTTCCCTTACATAAGTTTTCCTTCGTCTACCTATGCAAAGAATTAACTGCGTTATATGCGTTTGTGTTCGTATGTGCCTGTACGTGTGGATGTGCATGCTTATGTGCAGACGAAAGTTTCAGAAAAATTCTCTGAAAGGTTAAAGAGATGAAGAAACGAAAGAAATGAATGAAAAAAAAATCTCATTAAAGTAACTGTCGCACGTCTTTCTTAATTTTTATGATTATTCCCGCTCCTGCTGTTGATCTGCTTTATCTTTTCTTTCTTCCGTTTGTTTCTTAAAGCGAAAAACCAGTTTTTGTTTATTTTAACCCCTTTAAACAGTTGTGTACACGCACACAAACAAACACACAAATAAACACATACAAACGCCCAAATACCTATACACACCTCAATGTAAATACATTTGTATTGTAAAACAACAACAACAACAACAAAAGTCTCGGTAACGCATACAAACCGGAAATTTGTGCCAACGACCGGCAGTAACATACAACAACGGCAGCAACAGTATTAACAATGAAACAGTATATAGCAATAAAAAACCACCTACACTATGCACAGGTTTACTTCTTCGTATACACCACATATACACAAATGTTTAGATACTTTTATGTAAAGTTTGTAAAGAAACGAGGAAGTTTAATTTCGATACCAAATGTGCATTTGAAAAGTTGCAAGTATATGTGCTTGTACATGCTATATGCATGCATGTGCATAAATGTATGATTGCATTATATGTATACCTCTCAAGCATGATTACAAGCATAGGTTTTTCTAAAGTTTTCAGTTAAATAGAAGTTTCTGCGTGTGTCTGCATTAATATATTTATAGGGTTGTTCCTGTCTATTTTAACTAAGTCAGTAATGTATCTAATTCACTACAGTCTGTAGTTTTCTTGTAATATTTTGTTACGTTAATCCAAAATAATAACTTTTATTCCATTACTTGAATATATATATTAATAGCATAAGTGATTTAAATAATGATTTAATAGGATTTAAAATAGAAAAAAAGAGGAAATGGAATAAGCAAACTGCAAAATCCGACGATATAGATTAATCGTTTGAGTACCAGACGGTTTTGAAAAAACACTCTCGAAAAATCCCAAGCAGCGCGATCGCGCTGTTTAGACTTTATGTCGAGAAAAGCCAGCACATTTCGAGCATTGTCGACAACTGACGGTGCCTTACGTATTGTCGAAGTCGAGCGCAATACAATTACAATAGTACTACAGTAGTGCAATAATATATTACAAAATAAAAATTTCTATTTTGGTGTTGTGTTTTCTATAATTTTTGTGGAGCAAACTTGAAATATTTATTAACAAACAATTTAAATGCATTTAAATACATAAAATTAAACAAGCGCTATGGCGCCGCTTGGTATTTCTCGACATCAAACCTAAACAGCGCGATCGCGCTGCTTGGTACTCAAACGGTCAAGAAAAAGATGAAGATTAAAAAAGTAAAATTAAGACAGCCATCTTTGCCATAGAGAACGAATCTTGTGTGCGTAGCATTTCAAGTAAATCTATTAAAATTTTAACTCAGAACTAACTTCTAATCGACAGGCGGAAAAATCTTCTGACTGACTGCTTTTTGTTGATAGAACTGAATATGTCTTCTTCTAGTTCAACCACTCTTTTTGAATGTCTTCAAGGTTGATTATTTCGACAATAGAGAAAGAGAGACATTGCACAAACATAGGGTCAAGGAAATGGCTGAACCAGCTCTGATCCAAAAATAATAATAATTAAGAGTTAAAGTATATAAATAAGTTGTCATCGGTCTACTTAAGAGATTAGCTTATCAATAAACATTTGCCAAATTGTAACTTCTCCCTATAGAAGTTACAAAGCTATCCATTAGCTTTATGCAACAGCATTAGCCAGCCCGCCGAAATACAGTTTTGCGAAGTTTTAAACAAACCAGGCAGGGAAAGTCTGATTGTTTAATACTCAATTCAAAGACAAGATGCGACACAATATCGGAAATGTAAAAAACAAAGAACCGTTAATGAAATTTGGTGCGTCTAGTGCTGCCACCGAGCGCCTACAACAAATAATGCTATTAACCGATATGAAAACTGTTTGCGATTTGTGAAAGAGTGTCAAGTACGACGACATTTGGCCTCACATTGCAAAACTCGACCAGGAAATGGTACTTGTACTGAAGTATTCGCTAGGATTTCCCTCTTTCCTTTACCGCTGTTCTAAACAAATAACTTATCACCACTTATCAGTGGGTAGCGCTTCCATTCTTTCGACGATATTAATACAATGCGTCTCCTCAAAGCCTCAAAACACGAAACGAAACTCACATATCTCATCTGTTGAAGATAGGAAAGCGTTTAGCGATCGGCAATGTTTTGAATGTATGTTCCTTGTTTAATAAGGCTTCTCATTCATACGAAAGCCGGTCGTGACTTTTATTACTCGGTCTGGCATGTAAGTCGATTGCCCCACAACCGTACATTAGAGATCGATATCAATATTAAGGGAATACTCTTCACTCATATGTCGATGTGCCGCATATGTTACACAAAAGAAAAATTGCACCATCGTTCAACTCGGGTGCTGCAATTTATAAATTGTTTCTATGTTTGCACGTTGCTACCTTACGTCTGTTTCGAGAGTGTGCGAACTGCGATAAAAACAGTTATAACGAAAGATCTGCTTTAAGTCTTCGTTA